GCTTTTAGGTCCTCATCCCTCTTTTCAATATTGTTGGTATTGATGTGTACCATGACCACTGAGTGTTCACCCTCCCACTCCAGAATGTCTTGTAGCGACTCTGAGACATCCTTGCACCCAGGAACCAGCATACCATTCTGGGGTCTTATTTGTGGCCACAGAAATGTCTATATATTCCCCTTATTATTGAGAGCCCTATTATTATAGCCTTTCCACACATATTCCTCCTCCCCAATGAAGTACAGCCAACCATGGTGCAACAAATTTGGCTGTTGCTATTTTTCACAGAGAAGCCAACTCCCACCAACAGTATCTAAAGTGGTATATTTGTTTTGCAAGAAAATGGCCACAAGGGATTCCTGCACTACATGCCTAGTCTGCTTTCTCTGCCTGGTGGTCATCCATTCTTTCCCTGCTTTTGCAGTCTTAGCCTGTGCAGTGACCACTTCACTCTACCTGCTATCCACAATACCCTTAACCTCATGGATGCTACACAGTGTTCCCCAGTCACCACTGGGGCTCTGAAACTCAGGCTTTCAGGAGCTGCAGCTAAAGAATCTTTCTGCACACATTCTGGGAACAAGCATCAAAACTGTGTCTGACTTGCCACATAAAGGAGGAGGAGCACACCAGACCCTTGAGCTCTCCTTCCATGACTTATACTTTCAAGTTAACCCTTAGATTGCCTTTACAATCAAACAACATTAATTATTCTAGAGCTCTTATTCTCTGGATCTCTGCCCTATTGCCTGTACAAACTATAAACATAAAATAAAGACTTTACAGATTATAAGCAATAAAAATAGTAGAAATACTCACGTGACCTTACTCTTCCAATCAGCTTCTTCTTTTTGACACTCTTCTGGACTGCTTCATTGCGATGCTGACTGTAGGAGATTCTATCCAGACTGCTTCACTATGATGCTCACTGAGACACTCTTCCCAGCCTTCTTACCTTCTCCTCTTCTCTTGTTTCTTCTCTCCTGTGCACTGTCGTCATTCATATTACCTCTGTTCCATTTTCAATTTGTGCTACAGCCCAAGAATAACAGCAACTATAGATACCATTAGTGAAATAGACAGGCCAACAAATCCCAGTGACCCAAAAGAATATTTGCAAATGCTGAAAAACTGAAATAAAAGCAGTAAGTGTTGGAAATAGTCAGCTTCCGAACAGAGAGGGAAATATTCAATCAGGCACAGTTCAGATAATGTGATTCTGAGAAACTTTATGGCACAAAATTACTGAATCCTGCTCCCCAGTACAAACCAAATCCATATTCCACCATCAGAAATCCGTCCATTTTATACATGCCCTTTGCTCATCTTCTGTTCTGGTCATATCATTTTCCTTAAGGCTAATGTCCATTTGAAGTTTGGAAGCCATCAATAAAAATAACTGGAAGATGGAAATTAAACTGCATTTTCATTTACATTTGCCAATACATTAGGCAATGACATAGTTATAATGACATATGTGAATTTCCTTGTGCAACTAAAAAAAAGTATTTTTTTCTTCTATGTAGTGCTATAGAGCTAGAGGCAGGTTGCCAATTTGCCCATTTTTACAGTTGAGATACCACAGTGAACAGCCTTTGGATACGGGGCTCGAAAGGATCCTGCCAAAGATTGCCCTATCTGCATCTGTGCAGGGTCAAACCTGGTCATCAGAGCAAGAGTTTTTTCATGTGAGGATCTTACTGTAGGTTAATGTAAGTGGGTAAAGAATAAAAAGTGGGAATACCTTGAAAAGATTCCCCACTTTACAGCGCCTCTCCTCTATTTTTCCTCTCGTTGGCCATTCACACTTTCCTGCTAGCCAAGAGGAGAAGATCACATTGATGCAATTCCTTGATGCCAAGGCTAAACATTCCTCCATCCTGTTTAAAGGGCTGGGTCATTGGTCAGGGCAAGCATGTACCCGACTGCCTACCAGATCTGATCATTGAGGCAAACTTGATAAGGGAGCTTAAGTTAAAGGAACCCTTAGGAGGCAGTGACAATAATATGGTAGAATTTATTCTGCAATTTGAGAGGGACAAGCTGGAAACAGATATAACAGTATTACAGTTGAATAAAGACAACTACAGGGGCATGAGAGAGGAGCTGACTAGAATTGACTGGGACAGTAGCCTCGCAGGAAAGATAGTTTTTTAAAATTCATTCAGGGGATGAGGGTGTCACTGGCTAGGCAGCATTTATTGCCCATCCCTAATTGCCCAGAGGGCAGTCCTGAGTCAACCACATTGCTGTGGGTCTGGAGTCACATATAGGGCAGACCAGGTAAGGCAGTTTTGTTCCCTAAAGGACATTAGTGAAGCAGATGGGTTTTTCCAACAATCAGCAATGGAATTAGAGTCTTCATTCCAGAAATTTATTGAATTCAAATTCCACCATCTGCTGTGGCAGGATTTGAACCCAGGTCCCCAGAACATCACCTGGGTCTCTGGATTAACAGTCCAGTGATAATACCACTCGGCCATTGTCTCTTTGAGGAGGTAACGAGCAGGTTAGACCAACGAGAGCTAATGGATGTTATCTACTTGGACTTCAAGAAGGCCTTTGACAAGGTGCCACACAGGAGGCTGCTGAGTAAGATAAGGGCCCATGGTGTTAGAGGCAAGGTACTAGCATGGATAGAAGATTGGCTGTCTGGCAGAAAGCAGAGAGTGGGGATTAAATGGTCCTTCTCAGGATGGCAGCCAGTGACTAGTGGTGTTCCACAAGGGTCAGTGTTGGGATCACAACTTTTCACTTTATACATTAATGATCTAGATGAAGGAACTGAGGGCATTCTGGCTAAGTTTGCTGACAATACAAAGATAGGTAGAGGGACAGGTAGTATTGAGGAGGTGGGGAGGCTGCAGGAGGATTTTGACAGGTTAGGAGAGTGGGCAAAGAAATGGCAGATGGAATACAATGTGGGAAACTGTGAGGTCATTCACTTTGGTAGGAAGAATAGAGGTATGGACTATTTTCTAAATGGGGAGAAAATTCAGAAATCTGAAAAGCAAAGGGACTTGGGAGTCCTAGTCCAGAACTCTCTTAAGATAACCTTGCAGGTTGAGTCGGTAGTTTGGAAGGCAAAAATAGTGTTGGCACTTATTTCAAACGGACTGGAATATAAAAGCAGGGATGTACTTCTGAGGCTTTATAAGGCTGTAGTCAGACCACACTTAGAATATTGTGAGCAATTTTGGGCCCCATACCTCTGGAAGGATGTACTGGTCCTGGAGCTGGTCCAGAGGAGGTCTAGGAATGAAAGGCTTAACAGATGAAGAATGTTTGAGGACTCTGGGTTTATACTTGATGGAGTTTAGAAGGAGGAGGGAGGATCTAATTGAAATTTACAGAATACTGAACGGCCTGGACAGAATGGATGTTAGGAAGATATTTCCATTAGCAGGAGAGACCAGGACCTGAGGGCACATCCTTAGAGTAAAGGGACGCTTCAGAACAGAGATGAGAAACTTCTTCAGCCAGAGAGTAGAGAAGCTATGGAACTCATTGCCTTAGAAGGGTGTGGAGGCCAAATCACTGAGTATATTTAAGACAGAGATAGGTAGGTTCTTGATTGTCAAGGGGATCAAGTGTTATGGGGAGAAAGTCGGAGAATAGGGTTGAGAAGCTTATCAGCCATGATTGAATGGTGGAGCAGAATCCATGGGCTGAAAGGCCTAAATCCTGCTCCTATCATAGAATCATAGAATCCCTACAGTGTGGAAACAGGCCCTTCGGCCCAACAAGTCCACACCGAACCTCAGAGCATCCCACCCAGACTCATCCCCCTATAACCCACTTAATCTACACCTCCCTGAACATACGGGCAATTTAGCATGGCCAATCCACCTAACCTGCACATCTTTGGACTGTGGGAGGAAATCAGAGCACCTGGAGGAAACCCACGTCTTATGGTACTTGATAAAGTTTAAACGGATGGAGAGTATCTCATTGAAACTTACACAGTAATGAGAGGCCTGGATAGACTGGATGTGGAGAAGGTATTTCCACCAGTAGGAGAGACGAGGTCCTGAGGGCACAGCCTCAGAGGGTAGGGCTGACCCTTTAGAACTGAGATGAGGAAGAACGTATTCAGCCAGAGGTTGGTTAATCTGTAGAACTCATTGCTGCAGAGGGCGATGGAGGCCAAGTCATTGAGGGTATTTAAGACTGAGATAGATAGGTTTTTGATTGGTAAGGGGATCAAGGGTTACAGGGACAAGGCAGCAGAATAGGGTTGAGAAACACATCAGCGAGTATCTCGATGGGCCGGCTAGCCTAATTCTGCTCCTGTATCTTGTGTGATCTTTACAACAGATACCATTAACTTTGCTTTCTCTCCACAGATGCTGCCAGACTTGCTGATCTTTTCCAGTAATCTCTGCTTTAGTTTCTGATTTCCAGCATCTGCAGAATTTAGGTATTTTTGTTCAGTGGATGCTAGGTCATTGAATATATTGAAAGCTGTGACAGATAGCTTCTTGAACTATAGATGTGTAGTGGGAACGTGTCAGAGAGTGGAGTTGAGGCCATTGTCAGATCAGCAATGATATTATCAAATGGTGGAGCAGTCTTGAGGGGCCGTTGGCCTAATTCTGCTCCTTATTCCTATTTTCCTTCTATTTAACTAAAACTAATGGTGGATTTACCCATGGTGAGATGAATGCTCCCATATTTTTATGATGTTGGCTGAGAACTCAGATCTAAACTGTGGCATGGGACAAAATAATATTAAACACAACTGTCTGATCCTTTTTCTTCGAATGTATAACAGTAGGATAAAGGACTGTCATTGTAATATTACCTTATTTGGTATACAATTTATAATGTAAAATAACACGTACACAAGTTATGGAAATGCTAAAAGGAAGAAGAGTGGTTTGTGTGAAAATCAAGTAACATATAAACATATCTAATCATTAAATGCTTCTATTTAGAATCAAGGTAATTTCACTAGGCGATAAAAATTAATAAAGATCATAAATATTTGGACTAAACAAACTGGCATAGTGACGCAATTGTCCATTTTTAAGGTGGCATTTACAATTTTGTAGCAACAATTTATAAACTGTTTAAATTCTAAATTTGAAGTTGTCAAATGCAGACTTTAACAATTTATTTATTTTCTTTCAAAGTGATCCAGGTACCAAGACAACTGTTTGCAACATTTACAAGTTGTATGTTTACAACTAGTGAAACTTTCATAATGTGCTGCATCAGGACTGTCAGTTCTCATCAAGCTGCCTACTTGGTGCACAAGATCCACAATGTATTTTGTTGGTGGAATGAAAAGCCCAGTAACATCTTGAGTTGGTCGATCAACCAACATGACTTCATTCCAGGCTCGGCTGTACTCTCCACGAACAAGACTGCAACTGATTCCTATTTTATCTGCTAAAGCCTGAAATACAAATATATTCATTAAACAATTTATTACAGGTATTTCAAATCACTTCATTTTGGAAACTGTTTGAATGAGCACTTTAATTTTTTATTAGAAGAAAATCTACCTTGAATAGAAGGGCTCTGTGGTAGTAGATTCCTTTCTGAATTTTTCCAATGGGGATGATGTTAGATTTTAATTCAGATTTCAGTTCAGCAATGTGTAGTTCCCAGGTGAATTCATGAAGCTTTTCCTTGCTTATAGGCCCACCCATCTTTTCAGAAACAAACCTAGTATTTAAAATTAAACAAAGTAAGCGAAATCAGCCGCATTAGGCTAAGGGGGAAAATGAATGAGGAAAAGAAGTCAAGGATAGAACACCAGGGTACTCTGGATGTTACTATAGGAGAAGCATGTCAGTGACATGGATAGTTTTTTTCCAAATTCACCTGTGGGATGTGGCCAATGCTGGCTGGGCCAGCAATTATTTGCCATCCCTAGTTGCCCTTAAGAAGTTGGTGGTGAGCTGCCTTCTAGAACTGCTGCAGTCCATGTGCTGTAGGTAGACCCATAATACTGCTTGGGAGGGAATTTTAGGAATTTGGCCCAACGCACTGAAAAATGGTGATATATTTCAAAGTCAGGATGGTGAGTAGTTGGAGGGGAACTTGCAGGTGGTGGTTTTCCCATGTATTTGGTACCCTTGTCATTCTACATAGTGGCAGTCGTGGGTTAGGAAGGTGTGGTCTGAGGATGTTTGGTGAATTTCTGTAGTGCACATTGCAATCAGTTCAGACTGCTGCTCCTGAGCATCAATGGTGGAGGGAATGGACGTTTGTGGATTTGGTGCAAATCGAGTGGGCTGCTTTGTCCTAGATGGTGTCAAGCTCCTTGAGTGTCGTTGAAGCTGCATTCATCCAAGGACATGGGAAGTATTCCATCACACTTCCAACCTGTGCCTCATAGACGGTGGACAGGCTTTGGGTTTTTGGGAAGTGAGTCACTTGCTGCAGTATTCCAAGCCTCTGACCTGCTCTTGTAGTCACTATATTTATATGGCCAGACCAATTCAGTTTCTGATCAATGGTAACCTCTAGAATGTTGACAGTGGTGTATTCAGTAATGGCAACACCATTGAATGTAAAGGGACAGTGGTTAGACCGTCTCTTATTGGAGATGGAGCCTGACAGTTGTATGGCATAAATGTTACATCCTCAATTCTGTCCTAATGATGGAGGAAAGATCATTAATGAAGCAGCTGAAGGTGCAAGGACATACTATGAGGAACTCCTGCAGAGATGACTTGGAGCTGAGATGACTGACCTCCAGCAACCACAAACACCTTCCTATGTGCCAAGTGTGACTCAAATCAGCAGTGAGTTCTCCACTGATTCTCATTTAATCCAGATTTGCTACAGCTCCTTGATGCTACACTTCGTTGAATGCAGCCCCGATGTCAAGGGCTGTCACTCACCTCATCTCTGGAACTCAGCTGTTTTGTCCATGTTTGAACCAAGGTTGTAATGAGGTCAGGAGCTAAGTGGCCCTGGTGTACTCCAAACCGGACCTCACTTAGCAGGTGCTGCTTGATAGCACTGTTGATGACATCTTCCATCAATTTACTGATATTCAAAAGTAGACGGATGGGCAATAATTGGCTGGGTTGGATTTCTAATGCTTTTCATGTTCAGGACATACCTGGGCACTTTTCCACGTTGTTGGGAGATGCCAGTGTTGTCGCTGTACTGGAACAACTTGGCTAGAGTTGCAGCAAGTTCTGGGAGAACTAATCTTGCTGGAAAGTTGTTAGGGCCCACAGCTGTTGTAGCATCTAATGCCTCCAACCATTTTTTGATATCACATGGAGTGAATTGAATTGGCTGAAGACTTGCATCTGTGATTTTGGATTCTCTAGTGTAGGCCAAGACAGATCATCCATTTGTTAGTTCTGGTCAAAGACTTTCGCAAATGTTTCAGCCTTATCCTTGGCACTGAGGTGCTGACCTTCTACATCATTGAGGATGGTAATATTTGTCCTCCTCCACCTAGTTGTTAAATTATTCACCACCATTCACAACTGGATGTGGCAGGACTGCAGAGCTTAGATCGGATTCGTTGGTTGTGGGATCACGTAGTTCTGTCTATCATTTGCTGCGAATGCTGTTAGGATGTAATTGTCCTGTTCTGCAGCTTTATCAGGTTGTCATCTATTTTGGTAGGAATAACAGTAAAAAGGGCTATTACTTGAATGGTAAAAAATTGTAGCATGCTGCTATGCAGAGGGACCTGGGTGTCCTTGTGTATGAATCACAGAAGGTTGGTTTGCAGGTACAACAGGTAATTAATAAGGCAAATGGAATTTTATCCTTCATTGCTAGATGGATTGAGTTTAAAAGCAGGGAGGTTACTTTACAGCTGTATAGGGTGTTGATGAGCCACACCTAGAGTACGGTGTGCAGTTTGGTCTCTTTACTTGAGAAAGGATGTACTGGCACTGAAGGGAGTGCAGAGGAGATTCACTAGGTTGACTCCAGAGTTGAGAGGGTTGGCTTATGAGGACAGGCTGAATAGTCTGGGATTACATTCATTGGAATTTAGAAGAATGAGGGAGAATCTTACAGAAACATATAAAATTATGGAGGTAATAGATAAGATAGAAGCAAGGAGGTTGTTTCCATTGGCGGGTAAAACTAGAATAAGAGGGCATAGCCTCAAAATTAGGGGGACCAGATTTAAGATTGAATTGAGGAGGAACTTCTTCATTCAAAGGGTTGTGAATCTTTGAAATTCCCTGCCCAGTGAAGTAGTTGAGGCTTCCTCTTGAATTTTTTTAAAGCTAAGAGATAATTTTCTGCATAGTAAAGGAATTAAGGGTTATGGTGAGAGGGTGGGTAAGTGGAACTGAGGCCATGAAAAGATGAGTCATAATCTTATTGAATGGCGGAGCAGGCTCGAAGGCCCGAATGGCCTACTCCTGCTCCTGGTTCTTATGTTATGTTCTTGTGGACAAGGATGCCTCCTACTGATTACAAGCTACTGCCTTTTGTGAATTGATGAATCAGTATTCATCTATGTTGAATATCACTTGAAAGCAATACTGGGTGTAGCAAGGACACAGATGTAGTCTGGGAGAGGTACCTTAATGTCCATTATCAATATCTAGCACTGCTCCCACTACTTTTCATTTGTCTTTATTCTTTTACAGCCTGTGGCCATTGGTGGCTAGACCAATTATATGTTGCCCTGAAAGATATGGGTGTCAAACTGTACCTGCACTTGTTATGAGACCCAACATAAAGAAAAACCACAGTTGTATTGCTTGAATGATTACACATGCTGTTTTTGGAGTCACACTGAGGAAGCCTGTATTGTGATACCACCATTGTGTAAAATGATAAATTCAGAATACTGAGCATTCACAAAGCCATCAGCAGCAATACTGTACTCCACTAAAATCTGTAATATCATGGCATAGTATATCCCTGACTTTACTATTACAATCCAGATTAATGGAGGTTTCAATGGAGTAGAGAATAGCATGCCAAGACAAGCACCAGGCATACCTAAAAATGAAGTGCTGGCTGGTGAAGCTGAAACACAGAATTACATTCATATCAAACATCAGTCTTCATGGTAGAGACACTAGTAGCTTTCCAAAAATACCAAATCAAGGGGCAAAATGTGGAGAGGATTTTTTTTTTCTCTCTAGTTATAGTCATTGTCTTAGGGAAATGGAGCTAAAGGCCAGTAAGTCCCCTACACTTGATAGGTTGCATCCTATAATAAGAAAGGAAGTAGGTACGGAGATAGTGGATGCAGTGGTTGTAATCTTCTAAGGATCCTTAGATTCTGGAAAAGTCCTACAAGACTGGAAAACTGTTAATATAACACCCCTATTTCAACAGAAGAACACAAAAAGCAGCTAACTATAGGCCTGTTCTCTTAACACCTGTTATTGGGAAAATGTTAGAGTCTATGTTAAGGATGTAATTAATATCTGAGCATTTATAAATGCACATGGAAAATGCATAGACAAATCAACATGGCCTCACCAAGGGGAGATCACACCTGCCAATTCATGAGACATTTTTGCAGAGGTAACAAACAGGATAAAGGGGAATAAGTGGATGGAATATACTTGAATTCTTAGGGGTCTTCACAGGGTGGAAAGGGTGGTTCTCCTTGTGAGAGAGTCTAGGAACAGAGGGCATATCTCAGACTAAAGGTTTGCCCATTTAAGACTGAGATGACGAGGAATATCTTCTCTCAGAGGATAGTGAATCTGTGGAATTCTTTACTACAGAACTACCGATGCTTGTTCATTAAATATATTCAAGGATTAGATAGACAGATTTTTAATCAGTTAAGGGAAATTGAGGATTACCAGATCTTCCATGATGTCATTCAATAGCGCAACAGATTCGATGGGCAGAACTGCCAACTTCTGCTTCTACATCTTATTGTCTAACAGCAGAATAAGCATGCTGTAGACAGAGCTAAGCAATTCCATTACCAATGGATGAAATGAAAGCTCTGCACTCTTGCTACATCCCAATAGCGCTTGACAATTAAAAGACTAATGGGAGGAAGCAGAACCAAAAATATTCCTGCCTTCAATGATAGTGGAGCTCAACAGTCAACTGCAAAAGATCATGTTGAACATTTGCAACAGTCTTCAGCTAGAAGTGTGGAGTGCATGATGCACTGAGCCAAACAGCAAAACATGAAGGTCCCACTTTGTCAAACTTGCCCCTCGTCTGAGGCATGGTGACCCTCAAGTTAAACTATCACCAGTCATATCTCTCAAATGAGAGAGCAGCCCTATTGTACTCTGGAACTATAGTGACTTTATCTTATTGCTGAGGTACCAAAATAACAGAAGCCAATCTTCAATCATTTCAATTCACTCCCTATGATACCACAAAGTTGCTGTGTATGCTGATATTGCAAAGAATTTAGACTCTGACAACAATCTGGCTGTAGTATTAAAGGCTCATGCCCCAGAGCTCCTGCATCTCTAAGCAAAATAGTTATGCTAAAACTTTATAAAACATTGATTAAGCCTCAGGTGCAGTACAGTGTTCAGATTTAGACATCATAGTTTAGGAAGGATGCAAAGCCCATGGAAAGGATGCAGCAGAGATTTACTAGGGCTGAGGAATGTTAGTTATATGGAGAGATAACAAGACCCAGATTTGTTCTGCTTAAAGCAAAGAGGACTAAAAGGAGATAACAAGGTGTAGAGCTGGATGAACACAGCAGGCCAAGCAGCATCAGGGGAGCAGGAAGGCTGACATTTTGGGCCTAGATCCTTCTGCCTATCCCTCTCCAGGACTAAAAGGAGATTTGATGACAGTGTTCACATTTTGAATGATTTTGGTGGCGTCAGTAGAACACTATCAAAATTGGCTTAATGTCTGGTAACGAGATGATACAGATTTAAGTTCATTGGCAAAAGAAGCTAAGGCAACCATCAAAAAAATCTGAGGTTTAGAATCCACTGCCTGAAAAGTGGAAGCAGATTTAAACAAAGAATAGGGCAACACTGGAAGAGCACAGAAGTGATTTTATTGTGTTGCTGTCCCATAGTGTTGACACAGGTATAATGGGTTGAATGGCTTTCTTCTGTCCTGTATCATTCTCTAATTCTACGATAGCTACTAGTGAAAATAAATGATCAAAGATCCTCAACTACAACACACCACATTTTACACCATTTACAGATGCCACATGGGCATACTTCACATCATCAGATTTCATGTGGTCTGACGTTGTCTAGTCAGGACATCAACTGACCAAACCTTTAGGAATGCCTTTGATAGACAACATTAGGCCCAATAACATCAACAGAACATGATGTGCATTAATAAAGATTGGTCTAACCAATTTTGAGTGGATATCCTTTTCACCTGCAATTTAAAGTCACAGTGAGGGAGATTGGAGTAGGAGACGAGCAGGTAAGTCTCTCGCTCTATATTGACTATCTCCTGCCCAGGTTCTGTTGTTGGGTAGGTAAAATTCATTGACATATGACATAAATCTGAATTGGCAAATTCAAATTATTATTTGATTTAGTCAAAAATATTCCTGATAAAACAACAGCATCCGATAATAGCAGAAAATAAATTGAGAAGATTGTGATGAACTTTCTATGATAACTGGGGCCTTTGAGCTTGTCTTCAACTACTGTAGGTTAAATACATGAGGAAATTTAGGGAACAGGTGAATTCACGACAAATGTATTCATTTTTTGTGTTTGGAAATCAAATTTTTTCATAGGAAATGAGGCTATTCAGCCTGTATGACTATGCTGAATCTGAAAGAATATCCATTCAGTCAGGCACTTCCCTGCTCTTCGTAGGAGCAAATTATTGCAGATGCTGGAATCCGTACCGAAAACAAAAAATGCTCCACTCCCACTGCTCTTTACCATTGATGTTGGTATATATTTCCTTTTCCAATATAAATTCAATATTGTTTTGAAAGTTATTTTTAATATGATTGCACCAACCTTTGAAACAGTACCCTCCAGATCCCAATAAATTACTGCATTAAAAAAAAATTCTCAGGTTCTTTTGCTTATTGTCTTAAATCTGTATTTGCTGACTAACAAACCAATAAGCAGTGGCAACTCTTCATAATTTTAATAATAACTATTCAATGAAATAACCACTTGAAGATTAAGACAAACTTTACAAGTCAGGAATCCAATTCAAAAATATTAACTGTTTGGATGTTTTAAATTTATGTCAGTTTACACACAAAATTTGTGTAGAAAAATACTTACATTGCAAGTGCCACAATTTGTTCTTTTGTGCTGACAAGAGGTAAAATATTTCTTGTAATTTCACTGAGGTAGGCATCAAAAAGTACATCATAAGGACATTCCCATGGTTTATTTCTCTCTTCCTCCTCAGTCTTGGCCTGCGATTGTTCCTCTTTAACTTTTTCCTCTTCTTTTTTCCCTCTGCTTCTTCCTTTGCTGTATATGATTAAAAAATTTGGGCAGTTGTTAAAGATGATGGGATTAATATTGCGCAATCCTTTCCCCTAATAATGACAGATTAGGAATTGCACCCCACAGATGTTTCCATGATCGGACCATGTAAAATAAATGTTCAAGCATCTTAAATTCCCAATTAGTTGCCCAGGCAAAATGGAAGAGGATAGCAGAGTACTTATCAGTAACCTAAAGGTGAAATCATTGTGTCAGCTTCAAACATTAACAAAGGAGGTCAGTTTTAAATATGGGTAAAAATAGATAGATCGCTTTGTAGAAATGTTTTCCCCTTTGGTCCGTTTAAAGCCTTGAATGTTGTTGTGGGTGTCAATAGCACCCATGGCCATTGTACTTTTTTTTCATACAATTGCTCTCATGGTGAGTATTTTTTTGTCCATCCCTAGTTGCCCTCAAAAGGTGGTGGTGGTCTTTTATTTTCTTAAATTGTTGCAGCACCTGTGGTGAAGGCATTCCTACAATAATGTCAGGTTGGTAGGCTAGTGGCAACATTTTCAGGAGGAAGGTGATCAAATGTGACAAAGGTGGCAGACATGTTGAGAAAGTCAAAAGAGATAGTCTGTCTTTGCCACAGTCATAAGGCATTGTCTGTAACTTGATAGTAGTTTGGTAGCTGCAGAATCCAGTTTGAAGGCATCAAGAATGGAGTTCCAGGAAATGGGGTTACAAATTTAGGATATGACATCATGTTCAAGGACTTCGGCAAAGCAAAGGTGGTTAGAGATGCAGTTTTTAAGTTAGCAGGACAGAGAGTTTTATTTTGATAACAGGGCTAATGATGACAATTTCAAAGGAGACAGGGACAAAGCCTGAGGAGAAAGAACCATCAAAAATGTCAGCTAACTTGGTAGCCAGGAGGGAACTGGATGTGTTGTGTTGTTGCATAGATCCCAGACAGGCGGTGTACCTTTAAGATGATTATGTGATATTACAACATATGACATTCAGGTATAAAGTTACCCACCTTTTTTCAGTCAATTTCTCAGTGTGATTGAGTCAATGCAGTGTATTCAGTCAGTTATGTGTATATAATGTACAGTAACATTAGTAAGCACAAAACCCAGGTGATATTTGAGTCTGTGATATTACAGCAATACAACAAGTGTTGTGAATAAATTTCAAGACACCTGTCTCAATAAGAACCTAATCTTTATAGTAGATTTATGTGAACTAACAGATAGTGCAGCACTCCGACCTTATCATTTTGGCAGTGGTGTTTGACCCAAGGAACCATTGGGGTTTATAGATTGGTGGCAGTAGGGTCAAAAAGAAAGAGGTGGGTCTAATGGACAAGATGACCTCAAAGATGGCATGAAGGAAGCTTGGATAAAAAGCTTGGATAAGGTTAGGGCTGCTTTCGAGGAATCTGGTGGACCACTGAAAAGACTGTAAGTAGCAAAGGCAAGTGATCAGATGATCTCAAAGAAAACCACGAGCTGCTTGAAATTAACTTTTCAGATGAGGGTACAGGAGACCAGGGAGATAGCTAGCTCTAAACAAATGAAGCCAGGGTTACTTTTGCATTGCAGGATGATCCTAAAGTAATAAACAATTTTCACAGACAAGAGAAAGATTTGATTTAAACTATAAGTGGTTCTGCCAGATCTGGTGTCGAATGGCTAAAACAGCTACTGGCCATATCTGTTCAACAATGTGACTCTTAGACTTAAGGGATAGGGATGGAGGCCATAGCAGGAGGAAATATTCAGGGCGAAAGACAAGAAAAGTTTTAATGATACCTAAGGTAATATAGGCGGAGGTGAGCAAACCATTTGCTATAGAAATACTATAACAAACAGAGGGCCAAAGGCTCTTGACAGTACAACAGTATGGGATTTAGGGCAAGGTTTTAGCCTAGAAGGGGGACTAATATATGAATGGAGAGTATTGCAACTAAGTAATGGGAAATGGTGATGACCTTAATTGTAATTGATACAATGGGTGTAATAATCTCATACGAGAGCTGGTCAGGCTCAGTGAGCTACCATGTATCCTGAGTTTCTGATCCTTATTCTGGTCTCCAAAGCCAGGGAAAACATAATCCCTTTGTCCATCTGTCCAGCCCTGTCAGAATTTTATAATGCTTCAAAGAGATCCTCTCACATTCTTATAAGCTCCAAGCCCAGTTGACCCAATCTCTCCTCATATTACAAGATTGCCTTCCCAAGAATCAATCTGGTGAACCTTTATTGCACTCCCTTCATGGCAAATATATCTTTTCTTAGGTAAGGGAGATCAAAACCACACAATACACTGGATGTGGCCTCATCAAGGCCCCGCACAGCTGCAGCAAGATTTCCTTTCTCCTGCATTCAAACTCTCTTGCATATCATTTGCCTTCCTAGCTGCTTCCTGCACCTGTGTGCTTGCTTTCAGTGACTGGTGTACAACGACACTCGGGCACCCTTGTACATTAACACCTCCCAATGTGTCACCATTTAAGTAATACTTTGTCATTCTGCTTTTCCTAACAAATTAGACAACTTCACATTTATCCAGGCTGTACTGCACCTGCCATGCATTTGCCCTCTCACTCAACCTGTCTAAATCACCTTTAAGCCTCTTTACATTCTCCTTACCACTCAATCTCACCCAGTTTTATGTCATCAGCAAATTTGGAAATATTACATCTGATTCCCTCATCCAGATCATATTATGAATAGTTACAACCCAAATACTGATCCCTGCAATACCTCACTTGTTATTGCTTTCACTCCAAAAATGACCCATTTTTTAAACACAAATGCATATAAACTTAAGGTACATAGACCTGAAATTTAAAGGCATAGAATTGATGCAGTGTTGAACAAACCTAAGATGGCTGTTAAATCTTTAATCAGTTAGAAAGGATTAATATGCAAATTCCTGAATTTCTTTCAAGTCACTGCCCCTGAGATAACGAAAGGTTTTATCAGTTTCCTCGTATACCAGAGGTGACATCCCAAGTCAGACAATGCATTTTAGGGGTGTGCAAGTTAGGTGGTTTGGCTCTGCTAAATTGTCTGTTGTGTGCAGGCTAGGTGGAATAGCCATGGTAAATGCGGGATTAGGGGTTGGGGGGTGGGGGGGTGGGGGGTGCGGGGTTGCTGGGTCTGAGTGGGATGCTCTTCAGAGGGTCGGTGCAGATGCGATGGGCCTAATGGCCTCTTTCCACACTGTAGGGATTCTCTGAAATAGAGGCATAGAGCACAAAGCAAGGAAGTTATGATAAACCTGAATAAAACCTGAGATTCAATCTGAGTGCGAGCATTACATCCACTTTTCACATAACACCTTAAAAAGAACGTGACAGCATCAGGGATAACACAGTGTGGAGCTGGAGAAACACAGCAGGCCAGGCAGCATCAGAGGAGCAGGAAAGCTGACATTTCGGGTCGGGACCCTTCTTCAGAAGAAGTCAATTTTCCTGTTCCTCTGATGCTGCCTGGCCTGCTGTGTTCCTTCAGCTCAACACTGTGTTATCTCTGACTCCAGCATCGGCAGTTGTTACTATCTCTGACAGCATTAGAGATTTCTGAGAATAGTTTGAGGAATGTGAAACACGAGTCGCATTGATAGATTGGAGAAGCTGGGGTTATTCTCCTTGGAAAAAGTTGAGAGGAGATTTGATAGAGATGTTCAAAAAAATGAGAAAGCTGGACAGACCAGGTGGAAAGAATTAAGGACCAGAAGTCACCAATTTAAGGTGATTTTCAAAGGAAGCAATTGCAATACAAGAAACCTTTTAATGCAGTGAGTGTTTAGGATGTGGAATGCAATGCCTGGGAGTGTTGTGAAACAGATTCAATTGCTGCTTTCAAAAGAGAGGAGGAAAGATTTGTAGAACTACTGGCAAACAAGAAGGGAGTGAGACTCGCTTAACTGTTCTTGCAGAGACCAGGCACATACACTACAGGCAAATGGCCTCCTTCTGTACTATAACCTTTCTATGATCTCCTACTATTAGAAGACTTTCTATTCTGGTATATATTAAAATTCTGAAAACCTTACAGCAAGTATTCTAATAGCCTGAGTTTTGGTCCTGCACTGGTAGTGGGGACAAAAAGCTTTCAGTTGATTGTCAGCACATTATTTTCCTAAAGGAGAAAGGGAGTTAGTTGTAGGACAAATGAGGACCCACTTCATTTGAATGACTATATTGACCTGTGCCTATTACAGCTGTCACACCTGCATCATATTGACTGGATGTACACAATCAATTTTAGGATAAAAGAACCAACATGGCACATAGACAATTTATCTTCACCCAAGATGGATGCCAATGAATGAGATTCCTCACTTGAACAGGCATAGAGATAAAACCCTGCAGCCCAATGGTATCAATGTGGATTTCACAAGTTTCAAAATCTCACCCCCCCTCCCCCCACCGCATCCCAAAACCAGTCCAGCTCGTCCCTGCCTCCCTAACCTGTTCTTCCTCCCACCTATCCCCTCCTCCCACCTCAAGCCGCACCTCCATCTCCTACCGACCAACCTCATCCCGCCCCCTTGACCTGTCCGTCCTCCCTGGACTGACCTATCCCCTTCCTAACTCCCTACCTACACTCACCTTTCCTGGCCCCATCCCCGCCTCTTCGACCTGTTTGTTTCTTCTCCACCTATCCTCTCCTCCATCCCTCTTCTATCCGCCTCCCACTCTCTCCCTATTTATTTCAAAACCCCCTTCCCCTCCCCCTTTTCTGATGAAGGGTCTAGGCCCGAAACGTCAGCCTCTCTGCTCCTATGATGCTGCTTGGCCTGCTGTGTTCATCCAGCCTTGCACCTTGTTGTCTCGGATTCTCCAGCATCTGCAGTTCCTACTATCTATGAATTCCCAAACCTGTTTTGATCTGTAGACTTATCCAAATCTCATCATGTTTCCAAGTTTGAAACTTAACAGTCCAGAAATGAGTTTATCATAAACAGATGTGAATAAACCATCTATTTCCCTGTTGCACAGCAATGGATTCTAACTTCTGGACTTG